GGCCCCTTTGTCAATCTGAAGGACCGCTTTTCCCGGCTTTCGGACCGGAAAATGGTCCGTCCCCGCCCCAGGCACAAGACCCCGCCCCCGAAAGCCCTAACCCCCGCCGGGAAGGCGTCCTCTCGCTTGGAAAAAAGACAACAGGGAACCTTTAGATAGTCGGCTTAGTTAGGCCAAGCTCCAGGGTCGGGTCGATCCGCCCTCCTACCGACTGGGGTGGGGTGTGTCGTGTCAGTGAATGTCCCCTCGCTACTGGGCCTCCCTACAAGTGCTGGGCATAGGTCTCGGGGGTGAGGGAAATTGCGCGCCCGGGGTCGCCTCTCAGAGGTGTTGTTGTAACCGAGGCGCCCGAGAGGCTCGTTACCCTCACCTGCCGTGATCGTGTCCTTAAGATTTACGGCCCGGCCCGGCCTATCCCATCCCATCCCATCCCATCCCATCCCATCCCGCCCAGTCTAGGTGGCCAAGTGCTCGAGGCGTGAGCGGGGAGGGGCGGTTGGGAGGCGTAAGGCAAATGGCTGGCCCTGCCAGCCCTGCCCATGGGGGTAGGGTTAGCACTTTCTACTGCGGGCGTCGGCGTCGGGGCAGAGAAGACGACTGGGTACGATAATAACAGCCTCTTTTACTTGAAAGAGTGGGTGGCTCTGAAAAGAGCCTTTTGATTTCACAGGTGCCCCTTTCGAAACGGGGGGCTGGGTGGGCGCCAGGCGCACGGCCTCACTTGCCCTTCGCCTTGTGGTGGCTCTCCGTCTTCTTGGGGAGCAACACGGCCTGGATGTTGGGCAACACGCCGCCCTGGGCGATGGTCACCTTGCCCAGCAGCTTGTTGAGCTCCTCGTCGTTGCGGATGGCCAGCTGCAGGTGGCGCGGGATGATGCGCGTCTTCTTGTTGTCGCGGGACGCGTTTCCTGCTAATTCTAAGATCTCGGCTGTCAGGTACTCCAGCACGGCCGCCAGGTACACGGGCGCGCCCGCCCCAATGCGCTCGGCGTAGTGGCCCTTGCGGAGCAGCCGGTGGATTCGGCCCACGGGGAACTGCAGCTGGGCTCTAAAGGAGCGAGATCTGGAGCGGGACTTGGCCTTAGCGCGGGCCTTGCCTCCCTGCTTGCCACGACCGGACATGACAGCGACGCAAGTACTGCGAGCACTTCCCGACTGACGACCGAAAAAGTCGCCCTAAACCGCTCCCTTTCACCTTTTTATAGGCAGAACGGCGATTGTTCACCGAGCGCTCTGATTGGCTAACGCACAGCTTTGTCCTGACGGCCAATAGGAGAGCGCGGGCGGAATACACCTATTTGCATACTCTCGCCCCCACCCCAACACGAGCGCCACTGAAAGCCCGCCAATCAGAACGCCGCGTACTCGGGACCTTAATTTGCATACAGCCTCTATAAGTACCGAGCCGCTTCCGGTAGCCCCGGTCCCGCTGTTGTCTTTGCGTGCCTGGTCTTTTTTCTGCCGCTGGTGCTTCCCGCTATGCCTGAGCCGGCCAAGTCCGCTCCCGCGCCCAAGAAGGGCTCGAAGAAGGCGGTCACCAAGGCCCAGAAGAAGGATGGCAAGAAGCGCAAGCGCAGCCGCAAGGAGAGCTACTCCATCTACGTGTACAAGGTGCTGAAGCAAGTTCATCCGGACACCGGCATCTCGTCCAAGGCCATGGGCATCATGAACTCCTTCGTCAACGACATCTTCGAGCGCATCGCCGGCGAGGCGTCGCGCCTGGCGCACTACAACAAGCGCTCCACCATCACGTCCCGGGAGATCCAGACGGCCGTGCGCCTGCTGCTGCCCGGCGAGCTGGCCAAGCACGCCGTGTCCGAGGGCACCAAGGCCGTCACCAAGTACACCCG